CACCTCCAGCAGCAGGAGAAGGGGGAGGGGACCCCCAGAGCCCCCAGGCCTGTCTCAGGGAGGCTTCCAAGTCAGCCCCTTCCCCTCGACGCCACTGCTCCCCACCCCCAGCTCTGGGGGCACCGTCCCAGCCTCTCACTGGTCCCTCCCACGAACCCGACCCCCTCCAGGTGTCCACATGCCAGCCAGAGCGACCTCCCTAATTGCAGGTCTGGTCATGCCCCTCGCTGCCTGGGTACCCTCGCCGGCTCCCACTGCCCTCAATATGAAGACCAGGCCCCTCAGCCGAGCATTCTAAACTTCCTCCAAGGCCGGAATCCCATCTCTCACTTCAGCTCAGATCACTGCCCTCACTAACTCAGAGCTTTGGGACCCCAGCCTTCTCATTGCCCTAAGCCCTTCTACCTCTGAGCCTTTGCACATGCTGTTCCCTCAGCCTGAAAAGCCCTTCCTGCCCCACCCCCTACCGTACTGAACTTGGTTGCAGGAGCCGTCCACTCCCAAAAGGAAAAGCTCACCTTGCCCTGTGGCCATGACCTCCAGCTGTAGCCCCCTGGACAGAGGGAATGTGGCTGTGACAGCCCCCAGGGCCCCGCTGGCACGAGAGAGGAGTGACCCCAGTGCAGGAGGCGAGAAGGAACAGGCCCTGCGCTTGGCCGTCCTGGTGGAGGAAGTCAGCGGCCACAGAACAAACTGCTGGTTTGAGTCACAAAGAGCCTTTCATCTACAGAGGTCGGATCCAGAGGCTGACCTCAGCCTAGAAGTCTAAAATGAAAGGAAACCCCGGGTCTCCTCGCTCGCGCCGGCTCCGACCCGCTTACCATGATCTAAACTGTGCCCTCTTTGCCACGGGGCAGCTCTGCCCAGGGAGGGGGCGGGCATGGCGTTCATTTAAAATGCCACTCACCGAAGTCACCAGCCACAGAGCCCACCTGGGTTTCCAGCAGCACAGACAGGCATCTGATTAATGACACACACATAAAAACCCGTCCCTAAGAGCCAGAGGTTGAGACGAAGCAGGAGGCTAATTGCTAATATAGGAATTAATATCAGCAAGTTCCCATCTTCAAGGCAGCTGGGAACCGTAAAGACGAAGAGCGTGTCCACTGTGGTGAAAACGCTGAGGCCCAAAGATGGGGCGGTGGCTCCAGGAGATGGACAGGTGGCCAGGGGGACACCCGGCCACACCTGCCCCACTCTAGCTCACCGCTGAGCTCACAGGTGACCATCATGACGCGGGAGCCTGGAGGACCCCAGAACCACAGCATAGCATCACCCTCCCCAGCAAGCCCCCTGTGATCCATCAGGCCCCCACCCTGCCAGTCTGGGGATGGCGAGGGTTTTGCTCCCATAATGCCCTGTTTCTCACACTGTAGTCCTCTGTAAACCAGTGGCCTCTCTGCTGGACCACAAGATTGTGGAGGATCTTTGGATCCCAGTGTCTTGCACGGTGCCTGGAGCGTGACTGGACTCAGTGCATGTTTGCCAGATGGATGGATGGAATGGAGATGGATGGAGAGATGGATGGAGGAAGGAAGGGAGGCAGGATGCATGGAGGTATGTAGAGAGAGATGGCTGGATGATGGATGGAGAGATGGACAGAAGGAAAGATAGACAGGTAGATGGATAGGTGGAGAGATGGAGGGAGGGAGGGATGGATGCATGGATAGAAAGATCGATGGATAGATGAATGATGGATGGATGGAGAGATGCACAGAAAGATGGACAGGTAGAGAGAGAGGTAGGGATGGATGGAAGGATGGATGGAGAGATGAATGCATAGATGGATGGATGATGGATGGACAGACGGAGGAATGGATGGGTGGAGAGACAGATGGATGATGGATGGACAGACAGAGGAATGGATGGATGGAGAGACAGATGGATGATGGATGGATGGAGAGATGGATGGCTAGATGGATGACCGCATGAGAAGGCCTCAGGAGAAACTTCAGGTCCCTCAGTGCAACGGGCACCGGGCCACCTTGTGTTTGGTTGAAGGTGTGTTTTGTTGCACTGAGACTTGGCGTCATACGGGGAGAAGGGAAGTGGCCTGGAGTTCGAGGCCCTGGCTGTCGTGTAGGTCATATAACCTTGGACAAGCGCCCCCCTCCCCCACGCAGTATCGGTGCATCTGCACATGGGGACGGTCCTCTCTGCCCTGCCAGCCGTGCTGGGTTGTCCCAAGGCTCAGGAGAGATGGCAAAGCAGGCATGACCTGGATAAGGAGAAGGTGCTTCGCCCCTTTGTAAAGGGCGGGTGTGTGTGGGCAGATCCGGCCAAAAGGCAAGGAGTGGCGTAGCGATGTGGGACTGTGCACCTGGCTTTCTTTCCCCCTTTCAGATTTCTTTCATTACAGTTATGATGTTGTTATTTATAACAAAAAGTAAAATCATGTAAGCATCTCAAGTACTTACAAATGGAAGCTTTTATTACGTTGACCCAAAAAAGTGGTTCTTTGGCACCGGAACGCAGAGACCAGACCTGGAGCGTGTAGGAAGAGGGGAGGGCCGAGGCGAGGTGGGGCTGAGCAGAGGCTGTCGGGTGGGGAGAGTGCCTGAGAGCCAGTCACAGAGGCCAGGGGCCAAAGACGGGCCCCTGTTACTGAACCCCTAGGACCCGAGGTTCATTTTGTCCTCGGTCGACTTGGTTGACCGTGTAGAAAGTCCACACGCAGCCGCTAACTTTGCACCGTGTGGTCCAGCCGTGCGCCCGCCGGGGCCTCCACGGCTCTGAGGGCCGGTGTTGGCCAGGAGGGCGCAGTTACACGTTTACTCCAGGCCCAGCGAATGCAGGTGGCTAACAATCGTTATTTTGCACCCACACGTGGAAAGAGCTCACACCTCCCAACACTGCCAGCCAGGCGGACCTGGGAATACAAACGCACCCCCAGGTGCCCGAGAGGCACACCCGCCCAAGGCAGAAAACTCCAGCCTGGTCTCCTCAGTGGGGTCTGGGGCATGGGGTGCCCTGGGGTTCCCAGGACGCTATGCAGGACCACAGGGAAGGCAGTAGGGCGGCGGGGAGGGCAGCAGGGAAGGCGGACCCAGGATGTACAGAGCTGGATGGGCCAAGAGCCTCGCTCGGACCCTTGGTTTTCTAAATGAGGAAGCAGTGTGGGGAATTCACTGTGTGCATTTATTAGGCACCTACTGTGTACAAAGCACTGAGCCAGGTGGTAGGGGATCAGCCTCAGACAAGCAGATGCATCCCTTCCTTGAACCAGAGAGACAGTTCCTTTCAAGATATTATTGTCATTGCCGTCATGGTTTGTGCGACCACACACACAGGGAGGGGGCAACCTGATGCAGGAGGCGAGGGGTGATGTTGCATGGATGCTTGTAGGAGGAGGAACAGCATGGGGAAGGGAAGAGTGTGGGGAGGGGTGTTAAGGGGAAGTGGTGGGAGACGAGGCCGGTGGACGGGGCAGGGCCAAGCCTTACGGGGCCTTGGAGGCTGTTGTAGGAGCAATGCCTTTATCCTGAGGGCTGTGGGAAGGGTCTGATGCCAGCGGGATCCTGGATTCATAATTTCAAAGCAGAACTTAGCCAGCTTCTCTCTGTTATGGGGCATCAGCCGGCCATAGCTGGCTGGAGCCTCTGGGCTCCGAGGACACTGCCGCCATGGTCCCTAAACACGGGGGCCCAGCCGCCCCCACCCCCGCCCCGCGTGGTATAAAACAATTCCCTCGCCCCGGCCAGGGAGGCAGATGACCTTCGCTGGACTCTTTCCATCTCTCGCTTTCATAGAGAAATTACAATTTATAATTGGATGAAATCACGCGGGTGTAATAGCAATGAGAGCCCGCGCTGGAGCCCGGCGTTCACCCCTCCAGCAGGACTCTGTCCTCATCTTCCCTCCTGCCCACCCCCCACCCTGTCCCTTCCCGGGGCCGGCACCCCACCTGCCTGCTCACGCCCTGAGCGTTTTCACCAGGGCCCTGGCCATTCAGGATCCATGTCCCAACGGCCTTGCTGGTGCTTAAATCTCCTAGCTCCTGGGGAAGCTGGTCCCAAGATGGCCCCCCCTTATCCTGTCAACCCCATCAGCCTCAGCCTGCACTCCACCCGGCCAGCAGCCGCCCCTCTCCCCACATGCTCTCCCTGCCGGGCAGGGCGCCCAGTGGGCAGGTGACTCCCCAGTCTGGGTTCTGCGCTTATTAAAACGCACGCCCTAAATATCCTTGGTTTGATTCATAATAGCCCCAGACAACAAGGCTTTCTCGAATCAGCCACCTTCAGCCCTCCAAAGAAAAGTGCCCAGATGCAGCTGCGTCCATCTGGATCCGATTTCAAACCGGAGCTAACCCTCTCAGATGTGTAATAAAGCTCTTTTCCAGCGAGGGCTCCGCAGGGGGAGCGCGGACACCAGCCGGCGGGCCTTCCACCAGCACGCTAATGAGAGGGCTCCAGGTTCTGCAGGCACCGCCGGCCCTGCGCCCAGGGCCCTGTAAAGGGGAGGGTGGCCGCAGGGGCCAGTCGGGGTGTGGAGCCCTGACCTCCTCCTAGGAAGCGGGGTAGTCACAGGAGAGAGGCCGGGGCCGCCACTTCCCCAGTCCCCTGATGGCCCTGCTTCCCACGGCAGGGAAAGGCTGTGCTCGTTCTGGAAGCCGAGCCGAGCCCGCGGTGGCCCAGTTGGCTCCTTTGAATGACATTTAGCCAGAGGAGCAGGTGCTGGGGGAGTGGAGCCAGCTCTGGGCCGGCGGGCGGCCCCTGCACGGCCAGGAGCTCTCAGAACTGCATTTTTCTCTGCCCACCCTTCCACCCCCAGGAAAAGGGAAACCGGGAGCTGCCTGGCCAGCGGTTGCTTATCTGGACTTGCAAAGCGAAGGGAGATGGCTGAGAATAAGCCCAGCCCCCTCCCAACCCAGGGGATGGTGGCGTTGGAGCAAACAGGTTCCTGAGGGCTGGGAGGAGACGGGGCTGCCGCCAGGCTGCCTGTCCCTCCCTGGGCGGCTCCTCGTTTTCCAGGGCTTAATCACTTGTATTGTCTTTTGGCAGGTAAGGAGGCAGGGAGTGGGTGAGACGAAGGACAGACAGCATCAGGGGATGAAGCAGGAATAACCCATCCCTCGCCTCCCCAGCAAGAAAACCTCTCTCCAAACAGGAGCAGCCAAGCGCGACGGAGCACCCCCCCACCCCCGTGCCCCCAGCATCTTCCCATCGAGGGGCATGTGGGGCCTGACAGCTCGGCGGCACCTGTCAGCTGCCCCAGCCCCGCGGAGAACATCCGAGCCCCTCGGCGGGGCAATGGGCCCCCGCCGGCCCCCCGGAGACGCAGCCTGAGTGGCAGGAATACCAATTCCTTGCAGAGTGGCTCCCTCTCAGCTTGTCACGCAAGAACGCTCGCTGCAAGGCAGTGCATTCTGCCAAGTGACTTAAAGGGATTAAAAAAACTTGGTAAAGAAAAGGGGGTAAAAGCCACGCAGAAGCCTTTCAGAGGAGGTGGCGGCCAACAGACAAAAGGGCGAAAGTTGAAAGGGGCCACCCTCCCTGGATGGGCGCCCAACCGTAGGGCATGCCCCGGAAGCAGGGGCCCGGAACACCCTCAGGCCGCACTCGGGAGTCCCGGGGCGCCCCTGCAGGCCCCCCACGCACGCCCCTTGCTCCAAGGGACGAGGCCCACAGCGCCAGTGGCCGAGGATGCGGAGGATGCTACCCCGGCCCCGCAGCCACGTCTAAACGCAGGAGCCTGGCAGTCTGAACGCAGGAGCCCGGCAGAGTGAAGCACTTAGTCTCCGTGTCCTGGGACGCCCCCAGGGCCACCCAAAGCCCCACATCTGTGGTCTGTGCCGCCGGGGCCAGAATGTGTGTGCGGCCCAGGCCCACCTCGACCAGAGGCTGACATCCAGAGCGGCGACCCAGCCAGACCCAGCAGGCTCCAGGGCTGCAGCTCAGAAGGTAAGGGGGACGCAGTTGGGCTCAGAGAGGGCGGAGCGTGGGAGATGCCTGGGGCCTTCCCTCTTCCCAGGCTGGTGGCACCGGGGCATCACAGAGCCCCCCAGCTCTGCAGCTCCACCCCACCCAGCCCACACATGCAGTTCAGAGGCAACTAGTGGCTTCTGCTTGCCAGGGGAGGGGTCATTTGCTACCTGGTGGCCCCCCGTGCTGCTGGGCTCTACCCAGGCTGGGTGGTCCCAGGGTGTAAGGCAGTGGCCGTTCCTGGAGTAAGCTGCCCCCACCACGCCCCCTGCCCTGGTTGGGAGGTCTTGCTTCGAGCCACTCTGAGTTCTGCCCAAAGGGGGCAGCAGTGAGGCCTTGGGGAGGCAGGACCTTTAGTGACCTTGGTCACTGGCCATGGCACCTGCTGCCCTCCAACAGGTGGGAGTCCACAAGTCCCCTCCATCTGGCCTGTCTGTCCCTACCCTGGCCAGGAGGACCCAGGGTGGAGTTGATCCAAGGCCCCCCACCCAAGGCCCTGCTCCTGCTGGCCCTTGGGCATCATCTGTTCTGGCTTCCAGTTCAGCCCCTTTGTTGGTGAAAGTGGCCTGAGGAGCCCAGAGACGAGGCAGTGAGTGCCCCAAGGTCACACAGCAGGCCGTGAGCGTTCCCTCCTTCCTCCCTCCCCGTCGGTCCTGGGAACCGCCAGCGCTGGGTCTAGTTGGGGGCAGGGTCCCGCCTGCGGGGCGGGGCCTCCTCCTCCCCGGCTCCCAGGAGGCCAGGAGGGCGGGCTTGCTCCTCCCCAAACACCAATCCCGGGCCGCCTCTAGCGGGCGGCGCCCTGGGCAGGGCAGGGAAGCCCCAATTCATTACCAAGATGGAAAATGACACTTCCGCGCGCGCTTCCCCAGGAGAGGGGCTGATTTATGACTGCGCCAGGGCCCGGGACATTTGTCAGCGCGGCGCGGCGCGCACGCTGTCTGCGGGGGCATTAATAGCCGTGTTATTAGCCACCGGCGTGAAAGATGCCCTGCGGATCGGCTATTTGCTGTTATTTATTATAAAGGCGCGCCAGCCCGGCAGCGGGGCCGCGAGGCGTCGGGAGCGCGGAGCCCGAGCTCTGCCCCTGCTCAGCGGGCGTCCCCTGCCCAGCGGGCGTCCCCTCCCCGTCCCCACCGACGCCACGGGTGCCCACGCCCCTCCCAGCCCCGGGGGGGGTGGGTAATTCCTGGGGCTGAGGCCGAGCTGGAGGGGCTCAGCCGGCTGCTGCTCGCCAGACCTGAGCCCCAAAGATTTACGCAGATCTGCTCGGCGCCCCCTCTCTGCCTCTGATCAGCTTCCTTCCATCCCAAGGGAGGAAAGCAAAGACGGACAAACCGCGCTGTGGGGGCAGATGGAGGGGCAGTGTGACCTTGGGCACGTCCCTCCCCCTGAGCGTGCTCCCCTTTGTGCACTGGGGTCTCGGGCTGCACAGGGCTGTGGCCCCCTGGGAAGGAGCAGCGTGTGAAGGCTCAGCGTGCAGCAGGTACGCGGCCTCGCCAGCTCCGGCCGTGAGGGGCCTGCCCTCAGAGGGCCAGAGCGGCGGGCAGTCAGTGCCCAGGCTGGAGGAGGATGGAGGGTCCTCTGTCCTGGACCCATCCCTTCCCCTCTCTGGACCTCAACTTTCCCTCCTCTGTAAAAAGCGGATGATCCCCGAGGTCCTTTACCGCCCAGATTCCAGGGTCCTGAGGGGGGGTTCCACCCCAGGCATATCTGTGGGGGTGGGAGGGAGGGGGCCTCTCAAAGAAAGTGGGGCCAGCCTCTGTCTCCAGGCGTCAGACCTACGGCTGGGCAGTGCCAGGCTGGCCACCCCCACATCAGAGGAGACGAGCGGGGACAGCCAGGGGTCTCGCCCGGGGTTGCTCCCTCTGGGGCTGGGGATCGATCACCCCACTGGGCAGCTGAGGGGGCAGGTAAGATACCTGGCAGGGGAGGAGCACTGGACAACGAGTCTGAGGCCTGGGTCTGTGTCCAGCCCCTCTTCCACTTCTGCACAATTCAGATCAGTCTCTGTGCCTCTTTGGGCTGGCGTGGCGAGGACACCTGGGTCATCATTACCTCCTAGGGTGCGGCTGAAGGAGGCTAGCCTCCCTCTTTTCTCCCACTGCCCGGTCCTGGGTTTCAGGTTCTGGGGCCTCCCTTTTGGCGTCTCCATTCATTCATTCATTCATTCGCTTATGAGCACCACCTGTGCCAGGCTCTGTGCAGGCCAGTGAGCAGGACAGAACGCATCCTGACTCGTAAGAGTTTACATTCTAGTGGGGGGGGGGGGGGGGTTGGGCAACCAACTCGTGATAAATAAATAGGGGGTCTCGCTGGGAGCAGGGCCTACATGTGGAGGATGCTACACAGCTCCTGGGCACCGCCCCCCCACCACCCCGCCAGCCCCAAGCCTCTGCTTTATTCTCAGTAAGCAGTACCACCCCGAATCTGTCCCAGTCGCCCAGCTCCCCTCTCGGCCCCTGGCTGCCAGGATCTCGCTGGCTGGGAGAAGCCCCCGCCCTCTTCTCTGGGGCTGTCACCAGCCCTGTCACCTAGGGGTGCTGCCCTCTCTCTTCCTTGCTCCCAGCCGTCCCCAGAATAAAGGCCCTCGGGCCGCTCTCCTGCCTTCTGAGATTCCCCTGGCCTCTCCTTTTTCCTTCCCAAAAGGAACTAAGCCTCAGTCTAGGCAGTTTTACTAAAAAATGCACACAGACAGACAGAAATATCAGGGCAGGAACGTCTTATTAAATAATGCCAGAGAGAGAAAGAAACAAAATTACATGTGTCTCCTTTCATCCCCCCACCCCCTCCTGGCCCTGAATAGTTTAATATCGAACACTGTTATCAATATAATTAACCTCCTCAGACGCGATTTTAAAGTCTTGTTTTTTAAAGTGATTTGCATTTCTGAAGTTCAGGACATCCCGCTGCCAGCCCCGCCCAGCCGGCCCACGCGGGGAGGTGAACTCGAGGCACTGTTGTAGTGTATTTGCATACCTGTGTGCAATTACCGCCGGTGATAAAAGCCGATGCATAATGCATGCAGCATGAAATTAGAAAAATAATTAACTTTAGGTTTTAAAAGCATCCCCACCCCACCCCCCACGCATTACAAGTTCTTGATGGCACCAGGAGAGGAGAGGAGAGGCAAAGGTGTGCAGGGCAGGGTTGGAAGGGCCTTGAGGGTCATGGCATCTGGTCCCCTGCCCGTGGAGGTGTCTCCGGTGGGCCCCGACAGGCCAGGGCAAGAGCAGCCCCAGCGGTGGCCTGAACAAGGGCTCGGAGAAGTCCCAAGTCCCTCTCCGGGCCCCCAGTTCACATCTCTCCCCAGGCCTGTCCCTGCCTCTCAACACTCCTCCCTCCCTCTCTCGGCTTGTAGCTGAGCCCCAGAGGTAGTGCTGGCTGCAGGGGTGGGGGAAGATGTGGGGCCCCCTCCTTAATTTAAACACAGGTTTGTGAGGGACCCAGCACGGGTGTGGAGCTCCCTGCCTGATGGGGGAGGCCCCTGCTCCCTGTGGGCCCAGGGTCCCCCTGAGGCTGAGAAATTGCTTCAGCCCCCAGGCTGCCCTGCGCGCCTCGCCCCTGCCCAGGGACCCTGCTCTGCCAGGAAGGGCCTGTGGGCCTGGCACGGTTTAGGGAGAACACAGTGAATTCCTCTCGCTGGAGGGAGGGGCTGGGAGGATGGGCTTCCTTCTGTCTGAGCGAGGCCCAGCTCACCTGTCTCTGGCCTCCCTCTTTCTCAAGCTCAGCCAAGACAGGTGGCTAGCCATCCTGAGTGGGTCACAGGAGGACCCTGGGGTCCCTCCTGGGACAGGGTGGGGCAGCTCCTCTTTCCTAAGCCACTGGGGTCCATGCTGGGCTCTCTGCACAACACCTCCCTTGTCATCCTCCCAGGAGAGTCGGGTTCACGGCAACATGTTACATATGGGGAAACTGAGTCCCAGAGAGGTGTCATGGCGGGTCACACAGCTGGGGGCCGGTGAGGCCAGATTCGAACCTAGCCCTGTTGTCCTTTCTCCCTCTCTAGTCCACATGCCTCCTTCATGGCATCCGGAATTCTCTGATCCCTAAAGTGGGGCTGAGATGGTGCCTGGCACTTTCGGGGACCCGGCCTCAGGATGTCCCCACACGACTGCCTTCACTGATGAACAGGAAGGCAGGCCAGGGCTCAGAGGCCGGGGGAGGCCTGTCCAGTCCTCCCTCTCCTGCCTGGGACCCCCAGCTCCTTCCAGAAATGTGCCCCCTCCCCTGCTCAGCCCCTGGTGTGCTCACATCTAACTGCCCCCCCCCACCCAAGGAGCCTGGCGCCATCCCCACCCAGCATGCCAGGGCCTTGGGTCCTCCAGCTGCCCCCTGCAAGCTGCCGTCACTCCAACTCCCCTGAGAGGACCCCCCCGAGGGCCCTGGGCCTCTGGCAGCCCAGCGTGATGGGAGTTGGGAAGATACCGGGCAGGGCACTGGGAGGCCAGGGGTCTCCACCAGGGAGGCACTGCCATCCAGATGGTAGATATTTACAGATGTTACTTAGCACCTACTACCACCGGTCAGATGGGTGTGGGAACAGAGCTGGACACGGACTTAGCCTTGTGGAGGGTCAGGGAAAGCTTCGCAGAGGGGGCGTCTCAGCTGAGGGTGAGGGAAGGAGTAGAAGCTAGCCTGGAGAGGCATGAGTCGGGGAGGGTGTGTTGGGGTCCAAGGAGCAGCAACAGCACGTGCAAAGGCCCGGAGAAAGCACAAGGGAGTGTGGGGCCTTCAGGAACTGGGAGTGGACTGCGTCTCAGAGTTCCGGGGTGACGGAGGCAAGAGCGGAGTTGTGGGCCCCACCCATTCACATCCCCTCCCTGGGCCTGGATGGCCCCCCATAAGGGAGGGGCTGGAGCAGCCTGGCGTCACACAGGAGGGAGCTGGCGTGGAGGAGCCAGCTTTGTGTGGCCTGGATGTAGGGTCAGTGCTTCCACCCTAGCTGCTTGGAGGTGGGACTCAGCATGTACAATTTGACGGGGGTTGGGGGGGTGGGGGGCCAGCATCCTAGTGACCGACAAGGAGTCCATGCCAGGAAGCAGCTTGGCCTGCAGGCTCCCATCTACCCTGAAGGCACGGCAGGGGCAGGGGCCCGAAAAAGGGGTTCCTGGAGAGCAGAAGAAAGAGACAGGCAGTTAACACAGAGCCTAGACTGGTGTGCCTGGGACAGTCACAGAATTACAGCATCTTTTAAACCTCATGCATCCGGTACATACAGATTGCGCTCATAAGTATTATCTTCATGCATATTATCTCGCTGACTCCTCAATAATAAGTTCCCCTGTAAGGGAAACTATTAAGACCACGTTTATAGATGAGGAAACAGAAGCTCAGAGAGGGCAAGCAACTTGCTCAAGATCGCACAGCCTGGAAGTGGCAGAGGCAGGACTCGAACCCAGGTTTCTCTGTCCTGGAAGCTGGCAGGAGCTAGTGACTGATGGAGAATGCCACGAATGATGGCCCAGGTGCCCCCTTGGCTAATAGGGGTCTGGATACCTTCAGTCTGAGCCAGCTCACTGCTCCCCTCCCCTGCCCCCCGTGGCACATGAAGGTTCCTGCTGTCAGTCACAGAGTTGGCAGGTCATAACTCGCACTGCGCTGAAGTCTGCGGGATCCGGGCAACAGTGACAAGTCACCCCGTAAAAGACGGGCGATTTACCAGGTTTAACTTGATGGCCACATAAACCATCAGACACACAACAAAGGAATAAAAAAGCTGCCTGGCACCCAGGCACTTAAAAGGCTCCCAGTGAGGTATGCTCTCCTCCCACCCCGGCCCCCAGGCCCCGCCCCACTTTCCTGGAGCAGAGGGCTTAGCTTCGTGGCCTTGGGGAGGGGGCGGCCAGGAAGACTGGAGCCAGAGATGGATGAGGCCTGCAGACAGGGGAACGGGGAGGCCTTGGGTCCCTGCCTCCCAGGTGCTTCTTGGTTATCCATCAGGCATCTCTGAAAGGTGCAATTTAGACTCTATTAGGATGCTGGGGCCTCTGGAGGCTGAGGGCTGTGGCCATGAGCAGAGCGGGCACCAGGAACTGAGGTCCATGCTGCAGCACGCCGTGGCTGGCCTTGGTATTGACCTGAACGAGTCTGCCCCCTGCTCGGGGCCCTGCTCTGGGATGGCAAGCCTGGAGGCCACCCACATCCCTTGTGCCAGGACTCAGCAGCTGATAGACCAAGGAGGGTGTGTGGCCTCTGGCCAGATGCTGGGGCCCAGGCAGAGGCTCTCCTGGGCTCATATTTGACCCCCGAGCCCAAGGCAAGGTGGCCTTCGAGCAGGCCTGTGCCTTCCTGTCCCCAGCACCTGCCCTGGCCCTGCCTCTGCTCACGAGCAGCTTGAGACGGGACCTCCAGGCTCCATAACCATGTGGCTCTGGCTCCGTGCAGAGAAAGGGCAGCTGGAAACCTGGGATGGCTGTGACCTTGGACGGGCCCCTCGCCTCTCTGAGCCCCAGGCTGCTCAGCTGTAAAATGAGACTGAGGACCTGTGTGTATGTGACAGGTGGACCCAGGAGAAGCATGTGCCCGTGAAGGGGGATGGGTGAGGCCTGGCTGGAGGGGTCACCCTCACGCCTGGGTTTATTCCTGTCCTCTGAAGGCTGGTGTGTCCGGGTCTGTGTGACCATCCCCTGCCTCAAGCCCGCCTCTGGTGTACTTTGCGCCAGTGCCCTGCCCAGTCCCGGAAGTAATGAGAGGAGGGAGTCAGTGGTCGGATGAGGGCTGGGCAGCCTTGGATGCCCACGTTCCACCTGGATTTACAGGGTGACTCTCTGTGCCGCTGAGGGGAGGAGGGCCTGGCGACCATGCCGCAAGTCTCCGGCTGGGAGATGAGAGGAGAGGAGCGAACAGGGCTGCCTGGTCAGGGAAATGAAGACCACAGCCAGGGCCAGCCCCGTGGCCGAGTGGTTAAAGTTCCGTGCGCTCTGCTTCGGCGGCCTGGGGTTCACGGGTTCGGATCCTGGGTGCAGACCTACTCCACTCATCAGCCATGCTGTGGAGGCATCCCACACACAAAGCAGAGGAAGACTGGCAGGGATGTTAGCTCAGGGCTAATCTCCCACAAGCAAAAAAAAAAAAAAAAAGATTGGCACGGATGTTAGCTCAGGGCTAATCTTCCTCAAGCAAAAAAAAAAGAAAAAGAGGAAGATTGACAATGGATGTTAGCTCAGGGTGAATCTTCCTCACCAAAAAAAAAAGATGACAGCCAAATCCACGGAGAGCCAGGAGCTCATGGGCAGGAAGCAAAAACCCCCTCCGAGTCCCAAGGGGCAGGATGTGGGTGGGCTCGTGGGTGGGCTGGGGCCAGGCTCCAGGAAGCAGTCAAGAATAAGCAGCCCAGTGTCCTCGGTCCCTCAGCCCCTCAGCCAGTGGCCACTGGTGGGAGGGGGCTTGAGCTGCCTTCAGGGGCCCAGAGTGTCCGGCACAGTCCATCAGCCCCCTTCTCCCAGCTTCCAGTAGGACCTCGCCCCCCCCCCGGCTCCGTGCACAGGCCCTGGGTGCTCTTCCCCCTTGCTCTCATGGCTTCCAGCCAGGTGCCCTCGACCTGCTTGGGTCCACCTCATGGATGAAGCCTCAGGCTGTGCACAGGCTCTGAGCGGGTGAGCGCCTTAACTGCGGGCAGAGCCCCAGCTCGCTCCAGAAGGCCTTGGAGCGGCCCAGCCAGCTGGGCAAAGGCCCTGTAGACAAAAAGGGGCAGAAGTGCATGGAGAGGGGAGCGGCCGGAGGCACCCTGCTTTGTTCAGTCTCTCTGTGCCTGGGTGGTCACAGACGCCAAGCCACACCAGGCCCACGCAGCCCATGGTCCCTGCCCTCAAGTATGCCGTGAGCCTAGTGGTCAGGACTCTGGCCTGTGGCCCAGGCGGCCTGGGTTCCTCCTCACCACTTCTCAGGTGGTCTTGAGTAAGTTAACACTTCTGAGTTTCCATTTTCTCATCTGTTATATGGGAATAAGAAGGGCGCTGATCTCAGGTTTGCTGGGAGGATTAAATGACTTAAATATTTGTAAAGTTCTGGGTGAGGTCTTTATATAGCGCGAGCTACCATCCCACCAGAAGGAATCCTAAGTCGCTAGAACAGGGGCTGGCACGTGGTAGGTGCTCAGTGAAGATCTGTTGAGGGTGCCTGGATGGACAGATGCATGAATGGATGAGTGAGTGGGTGGGTGGGTGGGTGGATGGAATGGATGGGTGGGTGAATAGATGGGTGGGTGGGTGGATGGATAAGTGAGTGGGTAGATGGATGGATGAGTGGGTGGGTGGGTGGATGGATGAAGGGATGGATGGATGGATGGGTGGATGGATAGGTAAATAGGTGAGTGGGTGGATGGATGGAGGGGTAGGTGGATGGACAGATGGATGGGTGGGTGGGTGGGTGGATGGATGGATGGATGGATGGGTGGATGGGTAGATGGATGGATGGATAGATGGATGGATAGATGGATGGATGGTTGGATGGGTGGGTAGATGAACGGGTGGAGCAGAGGGAAGCTCCATATCTGGCATCAGAAAATCTGGTAGGGGAGGGGACATCTGAGCCAGGTCCTGGAGGGTGAGGGAAGAGCAGTTTGCTAGATGGAGAGGCTCAGTCCAGGAACAGAGAGGGACAGAGAAGGGAGGAGGGTTTAACATGGCTGAGAAACAGAGATGCTTGGTCCCTGGGGCACAGGAGTGAGGTCCCCACTGACTCATTCGGTGAGGGGGGTCCCGATTCTGCTCTGCACACCAGCGCCGCCCTCGGCTCAGACTCCCAGAGGCCATCGTGTGCCACCATCAAAAACCCTTCGTGAACTTAGTTATCGGGCAGACCTTTGCCAGCTGCGTGAAGACGCCGTTTCCACTGAGGTTGAAAAGATAATTTCTCTTTAATTGATTTTTTTTACCACTACGAACAGTAAAATAATGTGAGAAAGATCTATGCTGCAATTTTTCCATTTGTGAGAACCGAAATTACACCTTGCAGACAATCCCCTCAGAGCGTGGATCCCTCCCTTCTTTCATTTGTCCCATTTCTTTAAATGCAAGGAAACAGAAGTTTTTTTCAAAGTAGCTGAAAGTTTGGTGATTCGGGGCGGCGGGGTGGGGCAAGGTGTTGGAATAATTCCCCGCACAACACAGAACGCAGAGCTAAGATGGGGACCTCTGACAGCCAGAGACTGCTGTAAATCCACACAAGAAATCCGTTCTGTTGACGCCTCATCCTTCCGTCTATAATATGCAGGAGTGACAAACAGGACGTGTTGTTTTCACACCAGACAATGAAGCTCCTCGCTCTCCCCGGCCCGCCGGTGACGACGGCAGCGGCGGCGGCTTCTTTCTTGCAGGTGCTACTGACGCCTCCCTTTGGAGCTCGCAGGCCTCCCCGAAACAAGCCTTCCCTTCAAACCCTGGGTCTGAGCCAGCTGGGAACGCATGGTCCCTGTTCCAGTGAGAAACAGTGGCTCTGAATCCATAAAACACGCACTAAATACCTCCCGTCAACAGTGACCGCCCACTTTTAGCGTTAGCCATAAAGACGGGCTTAGTGGGTAATCTTGAAAGAAGAAAAAGAAACTTCGGCATGGCGCTCACTAAATAACCTCCCCCGAGGCTCACATCACAGTCTAGGAGGGCGGGCAGCATCTGCTCCTGCGAGATTTAACGTCAGCCAGGTGTCGTTCGAGGCCCACCCCAGCCAGAGCGATCACCTGTGACGTAAGCTGGGCACAGGATGGGTCAAGGTGCACGCACCTCAAGACTCGACCTCTGCTCTGCGGCCCCGGCTGCGGCCACCCCTCGGTGGCAGGAGGGTGGGCCCCACGACTCTCACTGCATGTGTCTTGTTCTCCTTGCAGGTGTCGAGGCTCCAAGTCAGGTGTGGCCGGGCTCCCGCAGCCATCCACCATGGTGGTGGCACATCCCGCCGCCACCGCCACCACCACGCCCGCTGCCACCGTCACAGCCACCGTCGTGATGACCACGGCTACCATGGACCTGCGGGACTGGCTGTTCCTCTGCTACGGGCTCATCGCCTTCCTCACGGAGGTCATCGACAGCACCACCTGCCCCTCCGTGTGCCGCTGCGACAACGGCTTCATCTACTGCAACGACCGGGGGCTCACCGCCATCCCCACCGACATCCCTGACGACGCCACCACCCTCTACCTGCAGAACAACCAGATCAACAACGCCGGCATCCCCCAGGACCTCAAGACCAAGGTCAACGTGCAGGTCATCTACCTGTACGAGAACGACCTGGACGAGTTCCCCGTCAACCTGCCCCGTTCTCTGCGGGAGCTCCACCTGCAGGACAACAACGTGCGCACCATCGCCAGGGACTCGCTGGCCCGCATCCCACTGCTGGAGAAGCTGCACCTGGATGACAACTCCGTGTCCACCGTCAGCATCGAGGAGGACGCCTTCGCCGACAGCAAGCAGCTCAAGTTGCTCTTCCTGAGCCGGAACCACCTGAGCAGCATCCCCTCGGGGCTGCCCCGCACGCTGGAGGAGCTGCGGCTGGACGACAACCGCATCTCCACCATCCCCCTGCACGCTTTCAAGGGCCTCAACAGCCTGCGGCGCCTGGTGCTCGACGGCAACCTGCTGGCCAACCAGCGCATCGCCGACGACACCTTCAGCCGTCTGCAGAACCTCACCGAGCTCTCGCTGGTGCGCAACTCGCTGGCCGCCCCGCCCCTCAACCTGCCCAGCGCCCACCTGCAGAAGCTCTACCTGCAAGACAACGCCATCAGCCACGTCCCCTACAACACGCTGGCCAAGATGCGCGAGCTGGAGCGCCTGGACCTGTCCAACAACAACCTCACCACGCTGCCCCGCGGCCTGTTCGACGACCTGGAGAACCTGGCACAGCTGCTGCTCCGGAACAACCCCTGGTTCTGCGGCTGTAACCTCATGTGGCTGCGGGACTGGGTGAAGGCTCGGGCGGCCGTGGTCAACGTGCGAGGCCTCATGTGCCAGGGCCCCGAGAAGGTGCGGGGCATGGCCATCAAGGACATCACCAGCGAGATGGATGAGTGCTTCGAGACGGGGTCCCAGGGTGGTGCGGCCAACGCCGCCGCCAAGACCACGGCCAGCAACCACGCCTCGGCCACCACACCCCAGGGCTCGCTCTTCACCCTCAAGGCCAAGCGGCCAGGGCTGCGCCTCCCCGACTCCAACCTTGACTACCCCATGGCCACGGGCGATGGGGCCAAGACCCTGGTGATCCACGTGAAGCCCCTGACGGCGGACTCCATCCGCATCACATGGAAGGCCACGCTCCCCGCCTCCTCCTTCCGGCTCAGCTGGCTGCGCCTGGGCCACAGCCCGGCCGTGGGCTCCATCACAGAGACCCTGGTGCAGGGGGACAAGACAGAGTACTTGCTCACGGCCCTGGAGCCCAAGTCCACCTATATCATCTGCATGGTCACCATGGAGACAGGCAACACCTACGTGGCCGACGAGACCCCCGTGTGTGCCAAGGCGGAGACGGCCGACAGCTACGGCCCCACCACCACGCTCAACCAGGAGCAGAACGCAGACCCCATGGCGGGCCTGCCCCTGGCGGGTATCATCGGGGGCGCGGTGGCCCTTGTCTTTCTTTTCCTGGTCCTGGGGGCCATCTGCTGGTACGTGCACCGGGCCGGCGAGCTGCTGACCCAGGAGCGGGCGTACAACCGGAGCAGCCGGAAAAAGGACGACTATATGGAGTCGGGGACCAAGAAAGATAACTCCATCCTGGAAATCCGCGGCCCCGGGCTGCAAATGCTGCCCATCAACCCTTACCACGCCAAAGAGGAGTACGTGGTCCATACCATCTTCCCCTCCAATGGCAGCAGCCTCTGCAAGGGCACGCACACCATCGGCTACGGCACCACGCGAGGCTACAGGGACGGCGGCATCCCTGACATTGACTACTCCTACACATGATGCCAGCCTCCGGGCCGCCCCCGCCCCGGCTCCCGCCGTCCTCCTGGTGTGGTGATGACGTGGCTTTGCCCAGCCTGCTGCCGTCCGACGACAGAGCAAGGAAAAGAAATTCCATGATGACTTTCCCAGCAGAAAGCAGAGTTTGGGGAGGGTTGATGATTTTGTAGAACACGGCCGTGAAAAACGCAATTTTTTTTAAAGCATAGAAGGCAGAAGGGGGATTTGACGCAGCCGAAGACATAATTTATACGGAATTATGCCAGTTGAGGAGGGAAAAACTAAAAATAATATTGCAGGAAGGGTTGGGCCAGGGTTTTATTTTTTTTCCCCGAACTGGAAAGATACTACCTGGACCACATCTGTGTGCGCCTCATGGTCTGTTCAGGGCCGTCACAAAAGAACCGTCAGAGGGAAGCAGCCGCCACCAGAGGCCCCACGCAGCTCTCGCTGCCGGCTGCTCGCTGGCGACGACACGATAGAAGGTTTTCAGGCTCCTCACAAAGGAGACGGGGAAGAAAAGATCTTTCGCTACAGAGATGCTGTCCTGAAACCTCTTCCGCGGTTCTTTCCATCTCGTTTCCCTTCCAGATTTGCAGAAATATCGCGTCTTTCAATGCATCCTTTGAACAACAATGTAGTCGATTAAAAAACACACTTTCTTTTCCCGTGCTGAAGCCCTCTTCGTTTCCACGCACCGTCCTCCGTGGAAGCCCCCTGGGAGCGGTGGCTTTCCTGGGAGGTGCATCTATGCACCTGTCTCTCTCCATGTCACCTCTAAATACAGATGGGTAGATAGAGCCACATATACGGTCCTCACAGTACTTCTTGGGTCAGTTCATCCAATTTCCTGAGATGATAGAGTCGCGAAACCGTTGCTTTCTCCTAGAAATCACTGAGTAAGTAGACGAGGTGTGTTGGGGATGGCAGTGGGAGCGGGGGATCATGCTGTTGCTACAGGTGGAAGTGTGTCTGTCCTGGGCGGGTGGCTAGGGAGACTCCGGGCAAGGATGCTTTCTATCTGATCCTATCTCAGGTTGGCCGGAGCTGGGCCACGCTCCTTTCTGATCCAGAGAAAAGCTTTATTTCACTGCTGGTGTCCTCATCTCTCTCTCCCCCGCACACAGATGCGATCACCCCCATAGCTACTTTCTGAGCGTTTGCTCTGTGCTCTATGCTTCCTCCTGGGATGGGTAATTGGTACAGGGATGGGTTTTTTTTTTTTTTTTCGGGATCAGCTGATTAGACCTAATGGTTTCCATGGCTGCTCAAAACAAAGCCCAGAAAAGACAGGAAATTCTCAGAAGTGCCCTGGGAGATGACACCCCCCCCCCAAATGCATGACACCCCACCATGCCCACTCCTGGGCCTCTGCTCCAGAGAAAGAAGCCCAGACCTGTCTCTAAAAATGCCAGCCACCAAAAGGATCCCGACCGGGCCCTCCAAAGAGTTAAGATTTGATTTCCTCCCTCTGGAATCAACGTTGCCATCATTTATCAACCGACAGTGCAGTGTGGCGAGCCATGAGATTAAAACGATGGTGAAATAATGACAGCAAATCTGGAAAGAAGAGAGGCGCGGTGCCCGGGGTTCTCATATCGCCTGCATCCCAGCACTGGGGGGACGCGGGTCAGCGTCTGTCAACATGCCACTTGTCCGGCAGTGGGGAAGAGCCACGTCAAAGGAGAGAGGCTGGTCTGAGAGCAGGGACGATGAGAAGGGGTCCAGCTCCTGGCGGGGGCGTTTTTAAAAGGCCTCGACTGCTTTGACAAAAGCCAAAGGCAGGAAACGAGGCTGAAGAGCAGTCACAGGGCCACCGTGACAGGCCCCGGGGCCGGCCACCCGCCACACATGAAAAGATGCTACTGGTCCTCTCGGTGAAGAGGCAGGGGTTGAAAGAAATGGACACAAGGCCCGTGTGAGAGAGGTGGAGAAGAGGCAGGGCCCCCATCGCCAGGCCGGATGGACGGCCTTGCCAAATGAGGAATCCACTCTCCAGCCCCAGGGAGGGGCCAAGGGGCACGGACACGTTTCATCCTAAACTAAGCCTTTTTTCCCTTTTCCCACTTGAATCGTTTTCTCAAACAATGAGGCCGGGAGAGAAATTTTTCCAAGCCTTAACTCCACGTCTGCATAGAGGTCGCCCTCCTTGGCCGGCAGCGCCCCAGACACAGGCCTGTTCCAGCAGCTGAGGGAGGAGCCGGGGCCCCGCTGGGCGTGGCCAGGAGGAGAAGGTGCACGAGTGTGCAGGGCACTGGTGGGGGGACAGAAGTCCGAGGTCTCTGCTGTTTCTGAAAGGGGGTCTCACCCCTCAAGGCACTACTCCTGCCTCTGCCAGTGTCCCAGGAAAATCGGTCCCCGGCCTCCCCATTGCGGGTCACTAAGTCCGTGCTGCCAATGTGCTCGGCCCTCACCTCACTCCAGGTCCTCCTTTCTCTGAGCCTGGTGGGATTTCAGATCATCCCTTAGAGGCTAGGAAAGAATCTGGGGATCAGCAGGCAGCCCCATACAGTGAGAGTTGCAGGCAGGACAAGCGGGCCAGAGAGCCAGCCTGTGCCAGAAACGCCCTCCAAGACCAGCCCCAGGTGATGAACTTCCCTCCCCTATAGCACAAAGCAGGCCCGGGCCTGCTGGGGCCTGAGGACCACAGGGGTCTCCTGCCCCGGGTTCTGGTACTGATGGAGCTCAGGCAGGGGCGCCCCGCGGCTGGACAGCTCAGGCCCCGCCTGCCTCGCCACAGTCATCCAGCCTCCCGCCAGTGTAAATGCTGAAGATGGCAGAGACATGGCCGAGCCAGGGCCCTGGGGCCCGCTCTTATCTTTCCTGCCTTCAGCATCCCCACATCTTCCCAGGGTCCTCTCTGAGAGCGGGCCCCCAAATGTCTGCTGCCTCGCCTCACCCCAAACCAGGGAGGGGCCTGAAGCCAGGTCCACTCTGAAACCCCATCCCCTCCTGGCCCAAGTCCTCCGAGCTGGCCGCGTGACACGAGAGAGAGGACGTTCCAGGGCGCCCAGCCTCCCCCACCCCCTAGAAGCAGGTGAGGACCTGGACCACCACTTCTGTCTAGAATCTCCCTTCTGTGGGCAGCTGACCTGACCGGCGCAGCCTCTAACTAGCCAGAACGACCTCAGTGGCCTCAGCGTTGATGCGCGCATTTTACAGCATTTAAGGCAGATTTCAAGTTAAAAAAAAAAAAGCCCACGACACTTCTTTGGATAAGTGGTTTACCCTTCGTGGTAATTAGATGTGGTGATTGGGATCTCTTTTCTATTACATGGCAATTTTCCTTTAAATTTCCCCTAAAAAAAAAAAAAAGAAAGGCAAGAGAAGGCCGGGAAGGCAGGAGGCAGGCGCTCCGAGAGTCATTTGCATTTTGCGAATGAGGCCTCTTGTAAGCTCAGCTCAGGCGTGGGGCCCAACGTATGGAATGCTTAAGAGACTACTAAGAATAAAATCTATTAATTAGTCATACTCAATTCCGCAGACATCATGTGCATCCAAAGCCTCTTTGCTTCCCCTTTCTCCTTCTCTCTTCCTCCATCTTCTCCTCTAAATTGGCTCTGGCTTCCTGGACCGCCTCCCCGGTAACATGGCAGCCACGTGGCTGCCTAGGGGGCCTCCCCACCCAGGGCCGGGATGCTGGGTTTGGGGCAGGAGCTGGGGCACCAGCTCCTTCCTGCTCTGGGGGACGCTGGCAGGGGAGGTAACAGCAGCTGGGAAGATGGCAGTGCCTGGGGGGCCTCAGCTTCCCCACCCAAAGCCTGAAGGCCTCGCCTGCCTTGTACCTATCCTCCCTCCCTCCAGCCTCCTCCTCCTACCCCTAGGGTCCCTGGAGGTCCTCCGGCCCCAAGAAGGGGAGAGAGGCCAGGCTGAGAGTGAGGATGGGTCAGGGAGGTGCAGGGAAAGCGCGTTCCGTGAATCCACCTCCTCTATTTCCCCTTCTGTAAAGTGAGGGTGGGGTCTAGCTTCACCCCCAAAAAGCTGGGTGCTCCACTGACTCTGGAAGGTTCTAGATGGTCCAAGGCAGGTGATGGAGGCCCAGAGTGGGAGGGACAGGCCAGGTGACAGATCCCTGAGGGGGCCGCCTGGGGCCAGGTAGCGTGCCCGGGACCACATCGGAGCCCCCCTGCACCCCTTGGAGCCGAGGAGCGAGGGGAGGACGTCATCCCCCCTCCGCCCCCCCACCGCCAACGGCAGCTCCAGTCCCAAAGCCAACCCACTCCATCCAGAAACCCACTTCCTGTGGAATGCGCCGGGGAGGAGCACAGGGCTGCTGAGCATCACGCTTATGAAAAATACAACAAGGAAAATTGGATGCGGCAGACCGCGAGCGCCGGGGCTGGGAAGGCACCCAGGAGGGGGCTGGGGCGTTTGCTGGAAGGAGGGGCCTTGCCGGTCACAGCGGCCCATGCCCCCCAGGGCCAGATGGTGCGCTCAGGGCCAGGACGCGGCCAGGGTCAGCTGTGGGCGTCCCACGCGCCCATGTCCCCTCCCCGCACAGAAATCGGTGCAGGTGATGGGCCGTGATGCCTGGCGCTGGCTCAGGGCCAGGGCGGGCGCTAACAAGCAGCGCACAGCCCTGCACAGGCTTCCAGAATGCAGACAGGAGGCATCTTTTTCCTTAAAAAAGGGATAAAAAGGCTCAAAAATGCAAATCATTGCCGTTTACAACCAAAGGAGTCTGCTAAATTGATTAGGAGAGAATAAAGTCCTCGAGGTGAAGGGAAAGGGAATTTTTTTGCATTTTATGAACCTGCCCCCAGTGGCTGTGCGCAAAGCAGGGGTTTTCTGGGCCTAGCTAAGGGCTGCCCCTTTGCAGCCCCCCGGGGGAGCTGGGGGTCTGTGAGGGCCCCCACCACCACGGCCAGAGTCCTCAGGGGTACTCCGGCTCGCCAGGGCCTGGGCTCGAACACTGCCCCCCCCGGAGAAAGCAGTTCTGCCTCCATTGAGTGCCTTGTGATGCTGAGGGGGAGGGTTGGTCGCATGGCCCACAGGGGTCATTCAGAAGCTGTCCCAGCCCCCAGCAGAGACTCTGCCCCCGCCCTCCAGATTCCATGGGCCTTCAGGGCTGAAAAGCAAGGGGAAGTTGCTGGTCCAGTCACTTAGAGAGCAGGACTCTAGAACTATGAGCTTTTCTGCTTCCTTTCTGTTCCAGGGCGGGTCTGTCTCTGATCCGTTCTCTGCAGCCAGTGAAAGGGAAGCAGGGCCAACTGTAAAAGGGGAAACTGAGGGTCAACAAAGAGAAACTCTGGCCCAGCAAGGAAATCAAGCAGTGTGTTCTCCGTCACTGGGAGCATTCAAGCACTTGATGTGAATGTGGCAGATATTTTCCTGACTAAGCCAGGGCCAGGTTTTTTGACTAGAAGATCCTGTTTTCCACCCCTACTTTATCATCCCCCAGAACCCTGGAGGAAGATATTAAGAGATGTTCACTCTGCTGCTCAAAATGACCAGTGTCCCCTGAAAATGCCAGGGCAGGGCCATCCCACAGCCAGGCCGCGCAGCCCGTCAAAGAGCTGCCTATGCCACCAGGGATGCTACAAAATCCCCATCCTCACCATCTGTGAGGCACCGGGAGAGGAAGTGCAGATATGCGACCCTCCTGTGCTAGAGTCCGGACAGGGAGGTGGGAGGGTGACCCCCCCACCACCTGCAGCTGGCTCGCCCAGGGCCGCCTCCAGACTGCGCCCTGGACCTGTTCTCAGTGCCAGGGCCCCTGCCCGCTGAGCATCCTCCGCCGTCCCACGGGCTGTTTTTCCAACTCAACACGCTCAGCGCTGCTGGCTCCATCCATCCCAGGCGGCGCCCGGCTGACGGCTGCCTGGGGCACTTTTCACTCTGCGTTTTTAAGCATTTACCACTTCTTTTGAAATGTTCCAAGTCGTTGCCTGAAATACCCACATTTGCTTCTTTAAAAACACACAGAAAGATTCCCTAGGCTCTTGACTCCCCCTTCCTTTATTTTTCCCCCTCCCTTTGCATTTTAATATACTGTTTTTCTCTGGTTTCCGAAATTCCATGATTGCGGGGGGCAGGCCTGATTTGTCACCATGAGGGGGATTTGCAGGTGTGCCCAAGAACCCCGATGCCACAGGGCGGATCTCCAGCCTGGGGGCGGCTCTGGCCCTGCTCCCAGCAAAGAGCCCAGGCCCCGGTCTTTTTGAGACCAGTGGCTGCTCCTCCCACCCCTGGTTACTGAAATGCCCAGCTTGTGCCAGGAGGGCAGTGTGGGCACACTGAGGGCACAGGGGGCCCTGTGGGGGGCTCACCAGGCCCCCACTTCCTAGCAAAGCCAGCCCCTGAGAAACGGCAGCCATCAGAGCCACCACGGAGCCCTGGTCCCTGTCCTTCCCATACTCATCCACGCCGCCCACGACACCTGAATGCCCAAAAGGCCCAGCCCAGGGGGTCCTTGCAGGAAGGTGTTTGCCGTCACGGCCCCTAAATCTCTCTATGGCTGTCAGGGTGGATGGCAGCTCAGGCAGGATGCCAGGTCCCCGCGCCCCTCCGTGGGGGTCACTGAGGCCCAGCACAGCCCCTGGCACACAGGGCTGCCCAACCATCCCTTCTCCAGCTCTCCTCTCACTTCCTCATCCTCCTCGCTGGCCGTCTCCCCCGCCCCCCCGGGGCTTGGTGCAGAAGGCCCAGGCGGGTGTGTTGGCGACAGCCCTCCTCTCGTCCTGCACCTGCCCCGCTGGCAGCCTGGCACAGCGAGGGCTCCCCTGGCAGCTTTTCCTCTGAAGCACCTCATTCTGCTCCCCTTGGACCCACCGATCACCAGCTGTGAGCCTGATGGGGAAATCCAGCCACATGGCGAGATCCGGCAGCAGGCCCAGGTGACTCAGTTTCCCCTCTCTGAGTGAGCCTCAGGTGGGCGACATGGAGGGCAGAGAACTGGGTGTCCTGCCTTGTCTGACGCTCCCACTGGGAGTCCCCAGGCCTGAGCCACCCACGTGGAGGAACTAACCTGGCTTTCTCTTCAAGACAGAGAAAAATAGAGGGACATGAGCTGACAATCAAAGCCATGGGGAACATGGGGCTGCCACACCCCCTGGAGCTGGGCAGTCGAGGGCGCCTCTCACCTGCCCTGGGCTGGCAAGCTCGCAGAGTGTCCCAGAGACCGCCCACCTCTGCCTGGCCTGGCTTTGGAGAGGTTCTGGGTACCCAGGAGGAAGACACAAAACCCTAAACTAGCCTTAGATTTTTCTACCCGACCCAGCACACCACCTGCCAGCAGGCCAGTGGCCCCCGCTGAGGAGCCCGCCTGGCATCCAGGGCCGGGCGCCAGGCTGCAGCATGCGGGGTTTCTTCCAACGACGACCCTGGTGCCTTCCAGCTCATAAAAGGATGCTGAGAGCTGTGGGGAGGAAGCTGGGCAGCCCAGCATTCGAAGTTTGTTATCTGAGAGGGAGGGATGGAGGGAGACGGGGCTGAAGGTTGGGGGAGGCTGCGGGGTCGTGAGCACAGGTGAGCCAGAGAGATGGTGCGATTCCGCTGGCTGGAGGGCTCCGCTAATGATGAACGTCAGGAGGCGGATGTGAACACAGAGGCAGAGGAAAAAAGTAAACTAAAGGAACCCCGCTCAGAAGCACTGCAGCGTGGATGTTTTTTAAGAGCCACCGACAGCAATTTCCTCCCCGACGTTAAAAGGTTATTTGTATCTCCTTTGGATTGTAAAGCGTTTTAGAGTCACCTGGAGCTTCGCTCAGTATAATCTGCTCCTGGTGGTCTGAGGAAGAGGAAGAGGAGGAGGAGGAGGCGTCCTCGGCCAGACCCTGGAGAATGGGGTGGGTCCCTCTGCTACAGAAAGCAGGGCGCCCGGCTAGCCGATGGCACAGGGAGGGCAGGCCTGGTCTCTCGCAAGCCTGTGACCTAGGTCCCGTCTGCCATCCGAGGGACCCCTGCCCGGGCACCCCTGGCTTCCCCTGTGCCTCGGCCCTTCCTTGCCTGCAGAATCAGCCCCACGGGGCCACCCAGCCTCACTCTCCTTGTCTTTTTCCTTTTTCTCAGAAGGGCAAAGCACTCCTGGGGGCCCGAGTGATGGGACCACCCCCGCTGCTGCCCGCTGCCCTCTGAGACCTGGCTGGCTGACCCAGCCTGGCCTCAGGCCCTCCTGCCTCACTCCCAACCTCACCACCAGACGCGGGGCGGGGGGGGGGGGGGGGGGGTCAGAAAAACGAGACACACCAACACCCACCACGACAACACAAACCAAAGTGCTCTGCGAATCGCCCTTCGGCCTCCTTCTTGTAGGTGCCTTGAAACCTCAATGTCGAGATGAATGTGATAAACTCTTTGGTCCTATTTTCTGTTTGTCTGTTTTCATATAAAATGTCCAAGTCCACTTGCCTTGTTCTTTCTTGAAATAAATAGAAAGATTTAACTTTTACAGTCATCTCGGCTGCTGACTCTCAGCTTGGCGGCCCAGCGTGCTGGGGGCCAGGTGTCTATCGCACACAAGCTCTTTGATGCCACCCCCCCTCCCCCGAGGCTTTGCCCCGAGGTCAGCCCTGCTGTGGGGTCCTCTGGCACAGAGGTGGTGGCCGGGGAGGATGGAGAGGGACTCTGGCGTTAGGATGATCCCCGGGGCAGCACTGGAACCAAAATAACGATTCTGCTGCAAGATGAAGGGACCTCTGACCCCATGCCACAGGCCCCGGGGAAGGCGGACCACCAGCTAAAGGCAGACTCTGTGAGGGTTCCCACGTGGAGATGGATTACGAGCTGTGGATTATCCCATAAGAGGCTGCAGCAGCCGTGTGAGCGCCCAGATAAGACTGGGGCTGTGTGGCCTGGGGATGCGAGCCATTCCCCCCCCAGACGCCCCCCGCCCCCGCCCCCCCTCCCCCTATCCCCTAGCCGCACCCACTGCATTCACAGCTCTCTGGGCTTCAGCTGATCTCTCCCACCCCAAAGAGAGGAGAAAGGAAAAAAATTATTTTCCATGAGAACAATAGCGTTTCTGCTAAATTTAACATAAAACAAGAACTCATTACTTCTGCCTTAGATCTGATGGCACATCTGGATGCGGGTTAATGAGTGCTCCCCGATATTCTAAAGGAGCAAGGTTATTTCTCAACATGCGTTGTGGGCCCGGTGGGGTGACAGGGGCCCTCTGCCCCCACATCTCCTGTCAGGCCTCCTGTCCCACCCTGCTGGGGGCAGGAGCCAGCCCAGAGAGGCCATTCTGATGGGCAGCACGTGATATGGCCTGCGGGAAAGGACCGAGTCCATTCCTCTGACTTCCCAGGGCCACGCACAGTGGGTGCCCAGGCGGCTGCCTGACTCTCACCCGAGACCCGTTTTCCAGGGCTGCCAAAGTGATCTTTCTAGAACACGGTCAGCCGGCCAGTCAGTGGCTATTTACTGAGGGCCTACTATGTGCTGAGGCTAAGGCATCCTTCCTGGGATGGAGGCCCTGCCCTGGTTGGGCAGGGGGCTGCTATCTGGGGAGGCACATTTCCACTGAGGATGTTTCTGAGGAGGAGGAGGAGGAGAGCAAGGGAGACATCCTGAGGTGGGGCGGGAAGGCAGGTCGGATTCTGCGTCTCCCCCGTGAGCACAAGACCCACCTGCTGGCCCAGCCTCTGGCCACACCACATATGACGGATTCCCCAGCAGGCCCTGCCCCATCTCGGCTCCAGGTCTGTGCCGATTTCTCAGCTGGGATGCCCTGGAAGGTCCTGGAAAGTTCAACTCAGGCAGCCCTCTGGAGACGCCGCCCTCCCGCCCGGCCCCTGGGCCCCAAGACTCTGCTGGTCTCTCGCCTGCTCAGGTAACTCACCGGGACCCCTGGCTGGCAGGTCTCACCTTCCACCCCTTCAGGTCCCCAGAGGGCAACGTGTGCAGAAGGAGTGACTCAGTAAACCCCAGTAAATCCATCAACCAGTCGATCAATCGATCCATGTTGGGTCCAAGAAGGATGACTTTCCAAGAGCGGTGGCCCTTGGCAGCCACAACATCCCCGTAAGGGAGATGGTCCTCTTCTCCCCTCACCCTCTCCCAAGGGCAGAAGGAGTACGGTCAGGGAGGCGGCACGGGCGGGCCTGCCCCCAGCTCCCCTCGCCCTCCACACGCTGGCGGCAGCGCCACCACCAGGTGCCCGCTCGGCTCTCTCCAAGCCGGGGCAGGAGGGCTGCGTTCCCAAACTGTGTTCCTCGGCCCCTAGAGCTAACAGAGGTTGTGCCAGGAGGGTTTCACAGTCACGTGTGTTTGAGAACCAGTGGATTAACGCCACTGCTGTTCTTGAGGGCTCCTCAGGCAGGATCTTGGAGTCCCTCGGAACTGACTTAGACCCACAGGCTCTACCACTTGCTCCCTGTGCCTCAGTTTCCACTTCTGTAGAGTGTGTGCATGGGAATAGCGCCCTGCTATTATTTTTACCATCATGACAGCATCGACCCTGCTAATCTGTGCTGGAACCTCCGAGGAGGGTGTGTGACGCTGGGTGTTCCTCTGATTGTCCAGGGCATGCAGGCCACCATCCCTGGCACAGCCCCCTGGGGTTTATCCAGCATCCCTGGCCCCAGGCACAGACCCACATGCTGAGCCGGCCCGCACGTCTTGCAAGGAGGCCTGGTGTCTCAGCAGAACCCTCGGGGCAGGAAGTGAAGCGCCCCCAAGTCTGGCACAGAGGAGAGGCGTCGGAATGGGATGGGAGCTGTTCCCCAAACCACCGGGACCACAGCCCAGTCTGTGGCCTGCTCTCCGAAACCTGCATAGAGGATCTCAGGCTGACCCAAGCTTCGGCTTCAGGAGGACAGGGGGTGGGGATGGGGCCACCTTAGGTTTTAATGAGTGCCCAAGGTGGGTGGAGGCGCAGACAGGGTTGGGACTCACAGGAGGGAGTCACCAGGACCCTGGAGGAGGTACGGGGGATCTGTACCTCAGGTAAATGGAAGGAAGACCCTCCAAACATAACTGACCCTTTCTGGAGCGGTAGGTGGTCTGAGAGGTAGTGAGCTCCCTGTCCTCAGAAGAAAGCAAAAAGAGCTGGCTGGTCCCTCAAGGAGGAGTGAGTTCTGGGTGATGGAGGGGACTGACTGACCCTGAAGCGCCCTCGCCTCCCTACCATGTCTTCAGATGGACCCCAAGAGACAGGGTGGTCCCCCCACAAACCCAGGACACCCGCTGCTGTAGCTCCTGCCATGCCCCATTCCAGCCCAGCAGCTTCCAGCCCTTTCCTTCCCAAAGAAATCTCAGGATGCACATACCCCTGAGCTTAGGGACAGGTGGGAGGTAAGCCCCCCGAATTGCCGCCCTGCCACCAAGCGGCACCCCCAGGCCCGGGGCTGCTGCTTCTTGTTTCCAATTCCACCTGTTTTGTCAAACTCAGGACTAAAAGTTCCAGCTCAAGCAGGAGAAACAATGAGTGACCGCAACCCCCCTGGACCTGGACCCTGCTCTGACCCAGCTACCACCGAGTTCCAGAAGCTTCCCTCCTCCTGCTCCTGCTTCCCAGGAGGGGCCTCTGGCCTCACCCAGCATCCCAGAGAAGAGGCGACCAACCCTGGGGAGGGTCCAACACCCCAAACCACACCCTCACACCCAAGTTCTGTGGCCGATTCTCAGCGCCCTGCTTGGGAGGTCCAGAGGGTCCGGGGTCCCCCAGCCAGCCCCGAAACGCTGCCTCGGAGTCGCGAGGGAGCTCGCTCATCCCTTCCAGGCACCCAAAGCAAAGTGTGCTCCCCGGCCCCCCTTCCCTCCCCCGCAGCCCTGGTCCTCTTGCCGGCACCTGCTTCCCCACCAGCCCGCCACCCCTCGTCCGGCACCTCTGGAGCACCCTCTCCTCCCGCGGCGGAGGAAAGAGGCTCTCTTGAGCCCCTAACTGACAGCACAAATGAAATCCCGGCGCTCCCCCCCGGAGATTTACAGGGGAAGTGCAATCTTATTTGCACTGCTGCCAAGCCTGGGATGCGATGAAATGATGCCTCGAGAAGAGACCGGCCGCTCCTCGCGGAACCGGCTGCCTCGGAGACGGGCTTATTAAAAGCCACGGCGGCCACATTTCAACCTGTTTCAGGTGTTAAGTAATTTACTGCCACCCAGAATTCAGTGGCAGGTTTTTATCCTTTTTATATTTCTGTGGCGCAGGCGGGGGGGGCCCCCCCGAGAGGTCCCTGCACAGGGAACCGTGGGTCTAAACGCTGCCCCCGCCCCAGCGCTGCGGAGGGACCTTGGGGAGCAGGGCCCTGGGGACAGCAGACACCCCGACTCTCCCCAGGGTTACGCCAGGCTTGGCCAAAGCCCAGAGCAACAGGAGGGAAGATCTAAGATCCCCACCCCACACTGGGGGGCCCGGTCACCCCCCCAAAGACCCTGTGGGCGTTTCCCAAAGGCAGCAGTAGTGTCAGCTCAGTGGGAACAGAGACCAGCTGTCTCTGGACCTGATCACCACCTGCACGATCAGCAAGTCTTTACTGAGCATCTACTGTGTGCCAGGCCCTGCTCAGATGGGGGACACAGCAGCGAACAGGATCCCAAAGACCCCTGCCCTAGGGAGCTCACATTCTGCTGGTAAGTGCCAAATAAGTATCTGTGATTGGTTGATTAAAGTCCCGGAGAGGCAAACAAAATCTTAAAAGAAAAGAGGCAGGCGTGGGGAGCGCTGGGGGCAGGCCAGGAACGGGGAGCCCCCTTTACTGAGCATCTATCTCCTGCTCGCCAGTCGCGGCCAGCGCAAGGAGCAGGGACCTCGCTCCCGTGTCACAGACCCGTGCCATTCACTGCTCCGGAGCACTGGGCGGTGAGGGGCCCACACGCCCTGTGTCTCCCATTCCCCCAGCCCCCAAAACTCTTGGGGGATGCACAGCCCGCCATTCACAGGAAGCTAGGGACAGGGAGCCGTGCGGCCTGGGGCCCACAGGGTCACAGAGGGTCACCAAGGGCCCCACATCCTCAACCTGGAGCCCGTTCCAGCAGTGGGGGGCAGAGGGCTGACTGGCGCCCGCCGGCTTTGGGGGGATTAGGCCTATTATGGAGGCTCCGGGGCTAATCTGGCGCCCTTGCTGATGCCCCTTTCCTCCACCTGTTTTCAGATACTCCAGAAGACCGAGGGGAATCTTCAAAGTCCAGGCTGAGCCGAAAGCAGCAATTCTTTAATTGGCTTTCTCCTGGCTCAGGGCGCTGGCGAATGGATTAGTCGTGGCAGGGCGGAAGAAAGGGCTGCGGTCCTTCTCAAAGCTGAGATTACAAGCCCGGGGTGAAGGGCCGAGGGATGGGCAGGTCCACCCCAGGGGGCGGCTCCCAAGGGGCTGGCAGATGGGACCTGTCACCAGGAAGACACGGGAGATGTGCCCTCCGAGAGCCGTGGTCCTCTGGAAACTGGTGCGAGAGGCGCGTGGCATGTCCAGGCTGTGCGCCCAGGGCTCCTAATGAATGTGCTTCCTC